GTGAGATGGGCTGGTGGGGATACGCGAAGCGTAAAGAATTGGAGCGCTTCGCCGCGTTGCACTTCATGTAACTATGGTAAGAATTTGGGGGTAATCCTTCACGCGCGTTTTTTTGTAAGAATTCCTGGGGTAATTTCCTTGCACATCGCAGCCGCCGCCGTCGAAAGCAGCGCAATATTACCCATCCGAACTATTACTAAAATCATTGTCGGACTTGCGGGGGGGCCTCGGTAGACTCGTGCAAGACTTTTAGCGGACCTCGTGTGAGAGCCCTCGCGCAAGACGGCCTCAAGGGACCCCACGGAAGGCCAAAGAGGGCCCCCCACACGCCCCAATAGGGCTCCCAACGGCACTCCACGACTGCCTCACAAAAGGCCTACACAACCACAATACGGCCCGAATGGGTTCAATGAAGGCTCGTCAACTAATGGGACGGCGGTCCTCCTCCTCCTCCTCCTCCTCCTCCTACTCCGCTTTCCGCTTCACAAAATCACAACCACCATCATCACCCTCATCGTCGTCATCATTCACCACCAAAATCACCACCACCATCACCGATACCATCATCACCATCATCACCACCACCACCATTCACCATCATCATCCTCAACATTCTCCACATCATCACCATCATCACCATCATCATCATCGTCTTCAATCTCATCCTCATACTCATCATAACAACCACCGCCATCATCATCACCACCACTATCACCATCACCACCATCATCACCCTCATCGTCATCATCGTCATCATCATCATTCTCCATCATCATGGTCAACATCATCATCAACACCACACTCATCATCACCATCACCATCATCGCCATCATGACCGTTATCATCATCACCATCACCGTCACTGCAACCGTCCTCATCATGACCATCGTCATCGTCATCGTCATCTTCATCATCATTATCACCGTCACCATCGCCATCGTCACCACCACCACTGCCATCACCATCATCATGATCGTCATCATCAACATTACCATCATCATCATCAACCACATCCTCATCCCAATCATCCGCGTCACCATCAACATCACCATCATGACCATCAGTGTCATCAGCATCAGCATCAGCATCATCATCATCATAACTACCACCATCTCCACCACCATCACAGTAACCATCATCATCACGATCAGCATTATTATCGCCTTCCCCATTCCCATCCCCATCATCATCATCAACATCACCATCATGATCATCACCATCACCATCATCGTCATCGTCACCATCATCATCATCATCATCATCATCATCATCATGTTCATCGCCATCATCACCATTACCAGCATCATCAACAACACATTCACCATCAACATCAACATCGCCAACACACATATCATCATCACCATCATCAGCATCCTCGTCATCATCATCCATCATCATCATCACTGTCATCATCACCACCATCATCATCACCACCATCATCAACACCATCACCATCAACATCGTCACCACCAATATCATCATCATCATCATCATCATCATCATCATCATCACCATCATGGCGGCTCTCTCGAGCCTGGGGACACGGCGTCTCGCGCGTGACGGCCTCCCGCGCCACCTCGAATAGGCGCCACCCAGAACACTGACTGGCACGAGTGCGGGACTTGCCGCAAGCAGCGGGTCTCAATCACTGTGATGTCCAACGCCCCGCAACGTTGCTGGCGCAGCGACGCAACAACGACGCGACAACCGACCAAACCGAACCGACAAACCGCCACCGACTGCGACGCAGCTGAACCGACCGAACCGTAGAGCACCCTTACAAACCCAACCAAACCATCGTCGCCGCCGGAGGAGGAGGAGGAAGAGGAGGAGGAGGAGGAGGAGGAGGAGGAGGAGCGAGGCGCGAGGCGCGAGGAACGAGGCGCGAGGCACGACGAGCGAGGCGCGAGGAACGAGGAACGAGGCGCGAGGAGCGAGGAGGAGGGAGGGGCATGATGGAGGACGAGGGGGTGGTGGGGGAGGAAGGAGGAAGAAGAGGAGGAGGGGGAAGAGGAGTCGGAGTCGGAGTCGGAAGCCTTGGCAGCTGTCTGGGGTTCGACTGCATACGAACCTATTGCTGCTGGCACGTCAGATCGGCGGATCGACGGGTCGCCTACGGGACCCTTGGCTTTTTAGCCTCTCGGCCCGCTGCAGCGCGGGGCCTTCCCGAGTACAAAATTGTTATGGAAACGGCAGGGGCTTAGGGCCGTCGGGCCAATCGCCCCTGACTCGGGACGCGTCCCATTGTAGCAGTCTTCCCGCCACCACCATCACCCCGCTCCCCAACTCCACCCGTCCCCCACGTTCCACTACTTAAAGCTGCTGCGCGCTCCGTCGTTGTGCACCTGTCTGTTCCAGAGGTCCAGGTCCCCGCGACTGGCCCAGTGGGCCACGAGGGAGCCAATCGCAAAAAGCGGACGCCGCGGGGACCAGGGAAAGACGAACAGAGGGGCACCATTTGGCGCCTAAATCCCGAAGACAGGTGTTTAACGACTTCGCGTGAACTAATGCGCGGGGAGCCATCGCGGGTGGGTGGTGCGTCGCAGCAGGCCATTCGCCCTGCTGCTGCCAGCCCTGGCGAATTCTCTAAGTTCTGTCATCTCTCTCCCTCCATCTCCAGTTGACGTACGCGCAGTGCTGCCTGTATTTTCCTCGCGAGTCCTGCTGGCAACAATGCTCCTGATGTCTGCTCTGCCTCTGCTTCTCGGAGTGCATCCACGACGATTCTCCTGGGGTCCCCAGTCTGCGCGGTGCGGCTGATCTTGAAGGGCGGCTCCTGATCTCCTTCGCGAATGTCGTTGATCTGATCCTCCCATGAGACCGTCCAAGGGTTGCGTGCGAGGCTGTTGATAGTCAGGTAAAGCTTCCATCTCCATGGCTGTCACGCTTCTCTGTAGGCCTTCTTGACTTTGAGATGCGCGGCGATGTCCCCGAAGCCCTGCCTGCCCAGCACGTCGATCATCAAGCAAACCTCCGTCAGGATCGTCTTGTTGGTTCCGTCGTCCTTGTCGTTTGGCCCCGTCTCCAGGAGGAAGACTGCGCCGATGTGGAGGTGCTGTGGCCCCGACTCTTTGCTGTTCTTCCCCTTGGCCTTCTCCGCGTAGGTTGTGTCCGCTGCTACTGCGGCTGCCACTATTGCATGCTCTCCTGGGACCAGGAAGTAGCCCCACTGGCTGCCTAACATCTGCCTGATCATCTGCGCGTGGTTGGTCGTCAGCTTCTGCATCGGCGCTGTCTCTTCGTCGTTGTGGTCGCCTGAGCCTGTATCGCAGCCGTGGTGCTCTGCTCGCAAATGCTGTGCGGCATCATGGACACACGTTCGTGCTGGCGATCATGGATCTGGAGGAGGTTGCCTCTGTTCGTCCATGTTCTCGTGGCACGTCGAAACAATGAAGGATTCTCTGCCCTTGGATCCCGAGCTTCTCCTCGTTGCCCTTGGCCTGGTACGACTACGACCGAATGGTGCTCGGTGGGGTTGATCCTACCAGGCGAATCATCGCAGGTAAATCATCATGACGACTGCTATAGTGCTCGGGGTTGTACTTCCGATCGTGCTCCTTGTCGTGGTATCGCCTGTCGATGAACTTGCATAGTGCCTCCACGAGCACTCCTCGTGCTGGTTCTGCTCGTCATTTGGGGGCGCGGCGTTTGTATCGAATCTGTCCTGCACAATCCTGGCGAATCTGATCTTGGAAATCGCCTGCGTGCAAGGAATCGTGAATGTGCGGCATGAAGGCGCAGTCAGCGGTCCACTCCTGCCAATCAACATTCTCGCGCTGCATTCGTCCAATCTGTGGCGGTCGGCTCAGTCCGTCATCCTATTGTGATGCTGTCATCTCTCTGCTCGGTGCGAACGCGCATTGCTTCTTCGGACCTCGCCCAGTGTTGGCCATTGTGGCTCGTGGGCGGTGTAGCGCTGCGTGCCGGCGGTGTTTCCATGCTGCGCCGATCTGGTCCACCGGTTTCTCTGTCTTTTCCGTCTTCTGTCGTTGTCGAGGCTCCTGTAAACTCCGTGGGAGGGCCTTGAGCTGCCTGTCGGTCTGGTCGAACTCAGTGTAGCCATCGCCAATACTGCACATGGCTGTCGCGGGCAATGCCACGTGGTCTATGTTGCTTGTGTAGGCGCCTCTGTAATAGGTGTGCCCTGTCCGCTTGAAGGTGTCATCGATCGCCAAGTGGTTGTCGTCCATGAAGTCGCACTTCTGCGATCTGATGGTGCTCTCTAGGGCGGGCTTCTCTGTATCAATTGACTCGGTGGCCTCGATGTACTTCCTTCCTGTTGTGTCTCGGCGTATTCCAAAAACGCAGTTGTAGTCGCCTGCAATGATGAGGAAGCAGTTGTGCCCCAACTTGTCAGGCTCGCTCTGTCTCCGCTTGAAAAATATTCTAATGTTGCCCTTGTGGGTGTTGACGGCCATGCCCCTCCCACTGATCCCCTTACTCCGTGACACTGCCAGTCCGCATGGTCTGATGACGCCAGCCTCCTTCCTCCATCTGAACTGAATACATGGGTAATTTGGCACCTGGTACGTCGTGTAATCTGTGTCTCTCGCTGCCCTGCCCGTCCAGAAGGCCACGTAGACGTCCACGTTGTCCGTCTGCCTCAATTTCTCCTCATGGCAGGTGAAGTCCGCCCACTGCACCTTGTGGTGCACTATCCTCGTGTTGCTTTCCTCGGCGGAGAAGCGAATGTGGCGCAGCAAGCACTCTAACAGGAAGCAAGAAAGAAACATCAACGCGGCGGGGGTTCGGTAGCGGACTGCTGTATGGATTTTCACGGCGCCGCCCTGAGCGGCCCCGTTCCCGCCGATGCGCCCTGTGTTCCACACGTCAAAGATCTGTGATGACTGTGGGTGGGGATGGGCCGCTCGCGGGTGTCTGGGCCGTGGCGGCGGCTGGGGGAGGAGGAGGAGGAGGAGGAGGAGGAGGAGGAGGAGGAGGAGGAGGAGGAGGAGGAAAACCGTGGCCGAACCTCCGGACCAACGCTCTCGGCGCCGCTCTTTTGGGCTCGGAGCGCGCAGGGGGCGCCTCTCGCCGTCTCGGGCGGGGTGGGGGGAGCGCGTGCGCGCGCTGCGGCGGCCCGCCGCGCCGTCACTCCCAGGCGAAGCGCTCCTCCTCCGCGGGCGGCAGGCAAGGGCGTGCCTCGCCCGCCCTCCTCCTCCTCCTCCTCCTCCTCCTCCTGCCTCCCTCTTCCCTCCTTCCTCCTCCTCCTCCTCCTCCTCCTCCTCCTCCTCCTCCTCCTCCTCCTCCTCCTCCTCCTCCTCCTCCTCCTCCTCCTCCTCCTCCTCCTCCTCCTCCTCCTCCTCCTCCCTCCTCCTCGCTCCTTCTCGCTCCTCCTCCTCCTCCTCGCTCCTTCTCCTCCTCCTCCTCCTCCTCCTTCCTCCTCGTCCTATTCTTGCTCCTCCTCCTACTCCTCCTCCTCCTCCTCCTCCCTCTTCCTGCCTCCCTCCTCCCTCCAAATTCTCCTCCTTTTCTTCCTCCTCATCCTATTCTCTTCCTCCTCCCTCAGTCCCTCCCTCCTCCTCCCTCGCGTCCTTCCTCCCTCTCTCCCTCCTTCCTCCCCTCCCTCCTGGAGGGCCAGAAAAGGGATCGTGGCGTCTCCCAAGGGCGGCTTGTGGGGCCACTCTGTCGGCGCTGGGAGGCCGCGGGGAGCCCGGAAGCACTGGCCGAGCCTGTGGAAATGGCGGACGCCCGAAATGAGAGCGGAAAAATTGGTACGATGCCCAACAGCACATGCTGTCCAAAACCGACAACGGCCGCTGTTAGGCAGCAGGCGGCCCTCTGTCTCAAATGGACAACGCCCACGGCGACACCGACAACAAGTCCTGTTAAAACCGATCAACATATGTTATCGGTCTTTGTGCCCGTTCGTTGAGTACAATCGAACCTAAGATTAAGTCGTGCCTGTCCCCCTACAAGGAATTTTCGACGAAAAATCATCAATACTCAAAACATACTCCAAAACAGTCAAAAATACTAAAAAATAGTCCCCGGACTATTTTTTGACTATTTTTTTTATTCCTCCTGTAGAGGGACGGGCCCGGCTTAAACCTAAGACAGAATACACATCCCTCAAGAACACGAGACCCTCCGCCGGCCAACACGCACGAAACATCCCAGGCCCCCCCCCAGGGTGCACGAGAACATCCAACACACACGAAAAACACTGGGGTACCCTCCCCGAACCGACCTCGGTCTTGCAAGTCGGTCCGGCTGTAACCCATGCCGATCGCCCCGACTCATGCCCGAATCCGTCACGAACCCGGAGGCCAGGCTTAGCGCCATCGAGGGGCGGCTGCAGGAGCAGCTCGAGCCAGTTGAACGTCTGGGCCGCACGCTCACCTCCACCAGAGTGCTGGAGGCCGATGTCGAGGCGAGGGCGAGTCGGCGGCGAGCCCGGGGGGGAAGTGAGAGGGGGTGAGCCTTCTTAACAGGCTCGGAAGTCCCCTGGCCTTCACCGAAGACACAGAACACCCCTCAGGAGGCGCGAGGGCTTCTGCGCAGCCCCGCCGCCTTCTGAGAAGGCCTTCTCCTTCTCATATCGCCCTCTCGCTCGCCGCCGAGTGAACGCCATCGAGGGCAACAGACTCTAGAGGCCTCCCCGATTGGGTCGGGGTAGATGGGGTTGGAGGACCGCGCCACATTGCCGATACATCGCCGATGCATCGGCGACGTCGGCGATGCATCGGCGACGTCGGCGTGGAGAAAATTGGGCTCCACATCGAGCCGCATCGCCGATGCATCGGCGATGTGGCGCGATCCTCCGACTCCATCTGCTCCGACCCCATCTGGGAGGCCTAGAGACTCTGGGCCGTGGCTGGCCGCGTGGTCAGCTTGGGCGGGATACTCTGAGGCTCTGTCCTTGCACTTGCCACTGGCGCGGGACGCACAACACGAAAACTGCTGACAGAGGGGGGAACGGGGATCATGCCATGCCGAGAAGTGGTGGCGAAAGGCGGGGAGAGGGCGAAATCACACATTTTTGGAGAGCCTGGAACTTCGCTTCGGGCCCCCAGAGCCAGCGGAACACCACCCAGGAGGGGCAGCGGGCCCGGGGGCAGGGGCCGGGAGCTCGGGGGGCCCACGCCCCGGAAAACAGATCGCGACGTCCGAGGTCTGGGTCGGCGTCGGGGGGAGGGAAGGGGGACAAGGGAGCGAGGAGGAGATGGGCCACGGGGGCAAGAGAGCTCGGGGGGACAAGAGAGCTCGGGGGCCCGTGTCCAGGAACACATCGTGACGTCCGAGGTCTGGGTCGGCGCCGCGGGGGCGAACGGGGGACATGTGAGCGAGGAGAGGGCGAGATCGGCCAGCATCGAATCGGAACATCGGATCGAAGCGGAACGTGCACCGAATCTGAGCGCATCGGCACGGAGTCGAAATCGGATCGGGTCGGTTGCACCAGGACGCGCAACAACGCTGTGTAAGCGTCGGGTCGCACCGGATCGGCGGGACGTCGAAATCGATTCGGATCGAAGTGGACCCGGGAGGCGTGGAGGAGGAGGAGGAGGAGGAGGAGGAGGAGGAGGAGGTGGAGGAGGAGGTGCGGAGGAGCAGGAGGAGGGAACGACATGGGGGAGGGGAGCACTGGAGGACCAGGAGGAGGAGGAGGAGGAGGAGGGGTGGAGGAGGAGGAGGAGGAGAGGGAGGAGGAGGAGGAGGGAGGAGGGAGGGAAAGACATGGGGGGGGGAACACTGGACTGGTGGGCCCGTCACGTCCCTCGATGCCCTCCGCCTGCGGACGCGTCGCAAGCGCAGGCGCGACTCTTGCTCTGGCCGTCTTGCGCCGCGTGCTTTCTCCCCCCCCCCTCCTCCTCCTCCTCCTCCTTCTTCTCCTCCTCCTCCTCCTCCTCCTCCTCCTCCTCCTCCTCCTCCTCTCCTCCTCCTCCTCTCTCCTCCTCCTCTTCCCTCCTCCCCCTCCTCCTCCTCCTCCTCCTCCTCTTTCTCCTCCTCCTCCTCCTCCGCATTCATGCCCGAGATCACCAGACCTTCTTCGCATGTGTTGGATCCGGCACGATAGCAGCAGACAACCCAGAGCCCAATCCTCTTTGCCAGTGCGACCACCGTCGTCATAGTCCTGGCTTCGCGAACAAGCCGAAACACACAACCCCTCTTTCACATCTCCACATCTGCTTGATACGCCATTCCTCTGTCCGCCAAGCCCAATGGAACAACAAAGCTGCGATAATTACAACGACATCTCCAACCTTCTTCTACTCTTTACCGCTTCTCCCTCCTGCTGCCTCCCGTTTCCTTGCCTCCTATCTCGTTTCTTTGGGTGTTGCGAACGGCGAACGCGTCGCTACTTTCGTGGGCTCTTGGGGATCCAGCGGGGTGATGTCCTATGGGGACCCAAGCGAAACTTCGCCCTCTCTTTGGGGCGCGAGCTGCGCGACCGTTATTCTCATGAGCTTCTGGGAAGTCCAGCGGGTAGACGTCTTGCAGGGACCCAAACGAGACCGCGTCCCTAAGCTGCCGCGAGAACGGCGGCGGCGGCGTCGTCGTCGTGAACTCCTGGGAAATTCAACGGACTGACGTCATGCGGGGACCCAATACGATACCTCGCCCTCCTCTTGGAGGCTGCCGTGTGCGCAACTTGTGCGCCCTTCGCGGGCTTCTGAAACGTCCTGCGGGGCGACGTCCGACGGGGACCCCGTGGAAATCACGCCTTGCCTGAAAGGCAAGGGGTCCCTCAGACGCCCGAATGGGGTTTCTAAGAAGCCCTCCAACAGGCCAAGCTCATTGATTTCTCCTCGAATCTTTTTCGCGCCCTCGCTCCCTTTTCGGGCTTCCGACGCTGCAAGACGGACCCGTGTCACCAAGATCGCCCAATGACGCCCCAAGATGGCCCCAAGACAACCCAAGAGGCCGCCCCAAGGCGGTCCCCAGACACATCCAAGCCAACCTTAAAGCGCACAAGCAACCCTAAAAATCTCTCATACAACCTTCAAGCTCCCAAAGAGGGACCCGCGACTGCCCAAGGGAGGCCCAAGTTTGTCTCTGAAGGCCAAGAGACCCCGTAAGCACCCCAAGAGGGCTCAAATGAACCTGTCGCGACCCCAACCAGGGGACACCTTCTATTGAATGGGAGCAATGCTTGGCATTGGGAACCCGAGGAACCCGAAGAACCAAGGAAACCAGAGGAACCCGAGGAACCTGGGGAACCCGAGGAACCTGGGGAACCTGAGGAACCCGAGGAACCCAGGGAACCCGAGGAACCTGGGGAACCCAAGGAAGGTCTGAGGAACGGGCAAAGCTGGGTCCCGAGACACCAATTCCGAACCAAGTAAGAACCCCTCAGGCATGCCAATCCGGGGGAAGGGACCTCCAGAAGGCCAACTCATTGTTCCCCCATCAGGTACTTTGCCAGAGATTTTGGCGTTCTCGCCCATTCGGGCTTCCGACGCTCCACGACGGGCCCATGTGCCCCAAGATGGCCCAAATAGGCCGCGAAGAAGCCCACAAGACGGCTCGAGAGGCCGCCGATGCGGCCCCCAGACGGCCTCAGAGACCTCCAGGCCAACCTTACAGCGCACAAGCGGCCCCAAAGACCTCTGAAACAACCTCCTAACTCTCACACAGGGACCCGCGACTGCCCAAGGAAGGCCCAACACCTGCCTCTGAAGGCCAAGAGGGCTCCGTAAACGCCCCAAGAGGGCTCAAATGAACCCGGTGCGACCCCAATTAGGGGAAGCTTCCAATAGCAAGGGCGCAATGCTTGGCATTGCTTGTTGGCATTGCTTGGGGAACCCTGGGAACCCGAAGAACCCGAGAAAACCGGGGAACCTGGAGAACCCGAGAAACCCGGGGAACCCGAAGAACCCGGGGAACCCGAGAAACCAGAGGAACCCGGGGAACCCGAGAAACCGGGGGAACCCGGGGAACCTGGAGAACCCGAGGAACCCGGGGAACCCGAGGAACCCGAAGAACCCGAGGAACCCGGGGAACCTCCGAGCAACGGACAACATAAATATCGTACGCGCCGAGGGCGAGTTAACGGCTGCCCAGGGGGGACCCAAGGCTGCCTCTGAAGGCCAAGCGGCCCCTCAGACTGCCCAAGAGGGCTCCAAGAGGGCCTCCAGGAGGCCGACCTTATTGACTTCCCTGAGGATTTTTTTTGCCACAGATTTTAGTGTTCTCGCCCATTCGGGCTTCCGACGCTCCAAGACGGGCCCGCATGCCCCCAAGATCGCACCAGCAGTGCCCAAGAAACTCCCAAGGCAGCCTCAAGAAACGGCCACCGGGGCCTCCAAAACAGTCTCAAAGCGCTCAGAGAAGGACCCACAACTGCCCAGGAAGGACCCAAGACGGCCTCTTGAAAGCCAAGAAACAATACTGTGAACGCCGCAAGGAGGTCCCCACGAGGACCTGCAGGAGGCCAGGAACATTGACTTCCTGAGGAACGAAAAGGGGATAAGGAGAAGGAGGAGGAGGAGGAGGAGGAGGGGGAGGAGGAGGAGGAGGAGGAGCAGTAATGACTTTAGGGTTCTCGCCCTTTCGGGCTTCCGACGCCCCAGGACGGGCCCATGTGCACAATAGTCTATTGTCCTAAGATTGCCCATGAAGGCCCCAAGAGCACCGACAGACTGCCCCAAGACGGCCCAAGAGGCACCCAAGACGGCCCCTGATACCTCCAAGACTGCCGCAAACGGGCCCCAAGACGGCCTGCGAAGGCTAAGCGGTCCTATCCTGAGAGGTCCCCACGAGGCGCCCGGAGAACTCCCAACGGCAAAAGGAGGCTGCCAAGCCAAGAGGCCTCAAGAGAGCCTCAGGAGGCCTCCCCTTCTTCCTCCGCCTCCTTCTCCTCCTCCCTCCTCCTCCTCCTCCTCCTCCTCCTACTTTCTCTTCCTTCCTCTCCCCAACGTCCCCCCAATGGTTTCCACAACGGCTGAGGGAACACATCGTCCAACAACTTGGTCAGACTTCGGCCCAAGGTTTGGCCGCATGGGCGTTTCCAAAAGGCACACGGCGCCAATGATTCGCCGTGGGCGTCTTACACGCATATATATACATATATATATATATATATATACATATATATATATAAATATATATATCTATATATATAAATGTACGAGGGTGCGCCGCTGGATCTCCCCAAGGGGGTGGGGGGGTGGCACCCCGCCCCCCCTTTCCTCGATCCGTCGTCGGGGAACCCCTCCTCCCCCTTTCCTGGTCCGTCGTCGGGAACCCCCCCCTCCCCCCCTTTGGCCACGTCGCCCCCTGACTCTGGAATCCGACCTCCGTCGCCCCTACCCTTAGTCCTCACCCTAACCCAACCCCGTAACCCTAACCCCAGCCCCAAAGAGTTCTCACTACTCATTACTCACTACCCACTGCTGACTACTTGCTATTCGCTACTCACTTCTCACTACCCCCTACTCACTACCCACTATCCAATACTCACTACCCACCACCCACTAGTCGCTACTCACTACTCCCTACTCACCACTCCCTCCTCCCTCCTCCCTACTCACTCCTCACGACCCACTACTCAAAACTCACTACTCACTAAGCAATGCTCACTACTCCCAACTCACTACTCACTAATCACTACTCGGTACCCATTACCCACTAATCCACTACTCACTACTCATTGCCCACAAATCACTACTCACTACCCACTCGTCGCTACTCCCTAGACAATACTGACACCACAGTACTCAGTACTCACTACCCCCATACTCGCTACTTAATACTCACTACTCACTCCCCGCTACTCACTACTCACTACGCACTACTCCCTACTCACTAGTCACTGTCTCTAGTCACTAGTAGTCACAGGTCACTAGACACTAGTCACTACCCACTACTCGCTACTCACTAATCGCTACTCACGTCCAACTATTCGCTACCCACTTCTTACTACTCACTGCTCACTACCCCCTACTCCCTACTCCCAACTCACTCCTCACTACTCGCTACTCCCTAGTCGCTACTCACTCATGAATACCCACTGCCCACTAGTGACTACTCTCTTCTCACTACTCACTACTCACTACGCCCTACTCGCTCTTCACTACTCACTACTCACGAATCCCTTCTCGCTACTCACTACACACTACCCACTGCCACTACCCACTACTCCCTATTCACCACTACTCTCTACTCACTACTCACTACGCACTACGTACTACCCAGTACTCACTACTCAGTGCTCACTACTCACTACTCGCTACTCTCTACTCACTACGCACTACTCACTACTCACTACTCATCACTCACTACTCACTACGTACTACTCACTACTCACTACCCACTGCGCACTACGCACTACCCACTACTCACTTCTCTCACTACTCACTACTCGCCACCCACTACTCACTACCCACTACTCACTACTCACTGCTCATTACTCCCTCCTCCATACTCTGTACTCACTACTCACTGCTCGCTACTCACTACTCACTAGTCACTACTCGCCACTCACTACTCACTCATCAGTACACACGACTCACTATTCACTAGTCACTAAAACCCCCCTACTCCCTGCTCCCTACTCGCCACTCACTACCCACTACCCACTACTCGCTGCTCCTGCTCACTACTCCCTACTCCCTATTCCCAACTCCGTACTCCCTACACACTTTCTCTGGCGCAGAAAAGAGAAGCGAGAGAGGCCCCCCCTCCCCGGCACCCTTTCCGGCGTAAAGGGAGGGAGGGGGGGGGGTCCGACTTCCCCCCGGTTCCGGACCCCCCCCCTTGAAGGGAGGGGGGGGGGGGTCGGACCCCCCCCCTCCTTAAGGGGAGGATGGGGTGTGTGTGTGGGGTCAGGACCTCCCCCCTTTGGAAGGGGGGGAGGGGGGGGGAGATCCACTGGCGCACATTCTATATGTACACATCACATATACGTACATAGGTTTGTACAAATATGTATGTATGCATGCATGTATGTATATATACATATATATATATATATGTATATATATACTCTGAGTCTATGTACAACACTGCATTGCCGCTTCGCGCCATCCACCTTGGCTCTTGAAATTTGATAAGCCGGCGGAAAGGCAAGACAACATAACAAACAATTTACCGATACTTCCGTGTTGCTTTTCCGACATCGCCGTTATACTAATGTTATTCATTATCCTTTCTTGTTCTTTCCTTTTCCTCCGAATTCTTCCTCATCGTCCTCAACTCTTTTTGCGGAGGCTTCTCCTTGGAGAGCCTGTTGGGGTTTCACGGCAGTTTGGAAGGCTTTCTTACGGATTTCTGGAGGCCTCATCATCTGGGGGTTTCCTCGGGCCACCTTGCTTCCAACCGCGGTCTCCCTGAACGACCCAGTCACGATTTGGAATGCTTCGGGGGGCGTCTTAGGGCCAACTTGGACCGTCACGGAGCTCCCTTGGGGCCATGTTGGAACCCAATTGTGCCGTGTTGGGGCTCCCATTCTCGGGCCTCCCAGGCGGTCTCGGACGCCCAAAACACCGAAGAATAGGACAATCCTAAAATCAGACACGAGCCGGAAAACAATCAATGTTTGGCTGCGTTTTGAAAGCACTTCGGGGGTTTTCTTTGGGTCGTCTTCGGGCGTCAGGTGGCCGCCTGTCGTCTGGGCCTGTCTGTAGGTCTGGCGAATCTGTGGCCGCCGTCGCCGCCCCGTCGCCGCCTCGTCGCCGCCTCGTCGCCGCCTCGAAGCCGTCCTACAGTGCACAACGCAGATTGACCGAACAAAATGCACCGCATACGTTGCACCACATAGGATGCACCATATAGCTTGCACAACATATATTGTACCGCGTAGGTTGCACCACATGTATTGCAAACCATAAGGCCGCATACATTGCGCAAACTATAAGCGCACCACATACAAGTGCACAACATAGATTCGCCACTTAGGCTGCACCCTATCGCTTGCACAACGTCCGTTGCACTGCATGGTTTGCACCACGTGTACTGCACACACTATATATACACATACACACATATTTTGTCCCACATCGAGTGTACCTTGTGTTTTGTACCACATCGGTTGCACCACATAGATCGCGCAACATACATTGCGCCACATATATTCTCCTTTGTAGAAATTAGATTATACCACCGCCCCCCCCCGGACTTATCGACTCCCCAAAAACCGATGCAAAAACACATGCGACTCTAACCCAATGTCCGTCCTACCTGTGAACTCGTACAGTCCCAGCCCGGCCAGTACCAGTACCCCCCGCCATCCTGCACAACAAACGCTACGCGTGCACATTCGTTATAACAAATCATAGGTTTCCAAGAACCCCTTGTAGAAAACGGGACGACATGCACACGCGCGCGTCGTCGCGCGCGCATGCCGCGATCCTTCACAAACCATCGGTTTTGGACGGGTTTCGAAATCGAGTGTCCACACAAAAAACACAGAGTTTCGCAACACGGATTTTCAACAAAAGCGTGCGCGCGCGTTTTTGCGAATTCTTAAAGAAACCAGGCGTTTTCCAACATTTTCAGAAACTGCTACCAAACGGCCTTCGCGCGCGCATGTCGAAATCGCTCGAACGCCCTTGTGCGAGTGCTGGGGTGGCACGACCCGTCTCGAATAATACCATGCTAACCACTCTCGCGCGTCTGCCGCGTGCGCAATGCCCCAGAATTCTTCACGAGGCGTGGGACACTGCTGGTTGGCACATGCGACGTGCCACGAACTCGCCGCCGACGTCCTCGATACACCCAATGCCGAACCGACGCAACTGTCACGCAAGACAACTCTGCAAAACACATCGCAATGCCAACTATACTCATCCACTGCTACTTGTTCAAGACCAGCCAGTTCAATCTAATTCACTTCGGTCTCACTAAGTCTACCAACTGCGATGCTCTAGTATCCGACCATGTTGACATAATGGGAGAATATGAGGCGGTCCTCCTTGTCACCATCGTAATCTCTTCGGTCAACCTCATCCATGCACGCCTGTGGGAAATGCAGACAGTATGCAGTAGTCGTTCAGCAGGGCAATCTGCTCTTGCACGGCGTAGGCTGTCAACACATGCAACAACCCAGGCGGCTGCTGCATCATCGAGACCGAAACGTACACATCTATGGATCACGTTTCGCGCACGGGATGGGGGAGGGTGAGGGAGGAGGAGGAGACGGGAGATGGGAGCGACACACACGCCCGTTCATCCCCACGACTCCGACGCCTGTCTTGTTTGCTTTCAATTCGGGGACCCCCGACCTCCGGACCTGATCCCGGGGCCCAGATTTCCGCCCCAAATTGTTTGACGATCCTGGGGTTTGATCAACTGGTGAGCATGTTCCTGAAAGCGGAAGCCGAAACCGATGAAAAACGCCAGACAATACATTGACGTGGGAGGTCTAATTCCACTGCTGCACTGATGCTCTCGTCGTGTTGTGCCCGCCTCGTGCATCCACCATGCCTCCTCGCCCAAGGACGCGAACTCTGCCTTCGTGGTGCGAACCTGGCAGCCAAGCCGTCAGTGATGATGATGATGCTGATGCTGATGATGATGATGATGGTGGTGGTGGTGATGAGGAAGAGGACGGATTAGGACAAGTAGGAGAGACAGAGCGCAGGCGGGCGCAATGGATAACAGCAATGATAATGATACTCCACATGTCTGAAAAGACGGAGGTGGCGTGTAGCCCAAGAACGCCAAGGTTAGTGTACACGAGCTCCGATGTCGTGCTGCGTCTGGGTCGCCAATCATACACCCAGGGCAGGTAGCATCTATTCACTTGCGCACTCCTCTTCCAACCTGCTCGATGGCCTCTGCTCTGAAGCCGGGCTTCCAGCCTGAAAGGGAGCAGGGACCGACCGTCCCGGCATTCCTGTAGTCCTACCACGAAATCCCACCAGCCCTTTGGGCGTGAGTGGTTTAGAGAGCCCGCTCTGTCCTCAACCCCCCTTCTTCCCCTTCGGGGAGGGGTTTACCCCTCCCCCTACCCCCTCCCCCTGGGCCTGGAGAGGGCGTCCCGCCGGTCGTTGGAGGGGTCTTCTTCGACTCCTGGGAGGGCCAAAAAACGACGACCCTCACGAGGATTCTGGCCCCGTCGGGGGGATCCAGAAAAAATCCTCTTCTCTTCTGTGAAGCCAGAATCCTTGATTTTACTACGGTTTTGGCCCCATTTTGGCCTTCCGAGGGGGCAGCGCTGCTGTTCCTTATTCTCAAAATTATTGGTTTTACGAAGGTTTTGGGCTCATTTTGTCCTTCTCAGGGGGTCGCGCTCATTTGCGCTTCACAGGAGGTCGCAAGAAGCCCCCAAGAGGCCCCAAGATGCCCCCAGGAGGCACCCCAGAGGCCTTCCAAGAGGCTCCCAAGAGGCCCCCAAGAGGCCTCCAGAGGCTCCCAAGAGGCCCCCAAGAGGTTCCCACGAGGCCCCCAGAGCCCCCAAGAGGCTCCCAAGAGGCTCCCAAGAGGCTCCCAAGAGGCGCCCACAAGGCCCCAGGAGGCCCCCCACGAGGCTCCCAAGAAGCCCCACGAGGAGCCCGAACGACTCACACCAGGACGAGGGGCCCGAACGACTCACACCACGAAGAGCCCGAACGACTCACACGACGAGGAGCCCGAACGACTCACACACAAGGAGGGGCCCGAACGACTCACACCAGGACGAGGGGCCCGAACGACTCACACCACGAGGAACCCGAACGACTCACACAAAAGGAGGAGCCCGAACGACGCACACCAGGACGAGGGGCCCGAACGACTCACACCACGAGGAGCGCACGACACACACAAGGAGGGGCCCGAACGACTCACACCAGGACGAGGGCCCGAACGACTCACACCACGAGGAGGGGCCCGAACGACTCACACCAACGAGGGGCCCCAACAACTCACACCACGAGAAGCCCGAACGACTCACACCAGGACGAAGAGCCCGAACGACTCACACCACGAAGAGCCCGAACGACTCACACCAGGAAGAGGGGCCCGAACACTCACAGCAGGACGAGCAACCCCAAACGACTCAAATCACGAGGAGCGCTCTCTCTCCCTCCTCCTCCGCCTCGTCTTTCTCCCGCTCCCCCCACAAGGAGGATGTACAAGGAGGCGGGAGGAACAAGGAACAGGGGAGATATGCGGGGCCAAGCGGACACACGCCTGAAAAACACGACTGTCGGCATGCTTCGCAAGAGTTGCTGCTGTGAGATGGGCTGGTGGGAATACACGAAGCGTAAAGAATTTCTTAGAACCCAAAAACGTTCTACGAACAAACACGATGTTCTTAGAACACAAGCCCGATGTGTTAAAACAAGGCAGTCCCAGCCAGAAGTGTTCTAAGCACACCTCGTGGAAACCACAAATGGTTCTTAGAACATTTTTTGGTGGGGCTACAGGCGAGCCAGGACGCTTCGCCACTGCTTGAGAAGGGGGACCGAATGTCTTGGGGGGGGGGGGCGAACCGGGCCCGAGGGGGGGAACCGTGGACTTGGAGTCGGCGATAGGCCCCCAGCAGCGAAGCCGCACGCTCCTGGGCGGCGGCGGGCTATCGGGCCCCTGTCAGCGAGGATCACTCGGCGATCGGGGTCGATGTCCGCCCCCCCCCCCGAGCCAGTCCCCCCCCTAACCCTGACGTTGCTCCTGGTCGTTGTTATTTTGTTACTGCCGCTGCTGCCACTCCCGCTGCCTGCTCCCCAGTTCCGCGGGGACACGGTGCGGAGGAAGCGCGGAGTGCACCGCGCCAAGCTTGTCCTTGGACGCCTTGTTCATGCACTTCCAGCAGACGCCGGCGGCGCAGCCGACAGTGTCTCCAGACCGTCGCTGTCTCCTGGAGAGTCAGCCTCCTCTGATCCTCCTGCTTCTCGTCGGCCTCATCTCCTTTCATCGCTTCCCATGCTGGATAAGAAGGAAGGATGATGGGTGGGGGTGGACGGGGATACCAATGCTTTTCAGGCTTTCAGGATCAATGGAAGTCTTCTAGGAAGCTCACCAAGCTTTGCGATGTTATCCTCGTCCCTCGTTCGCCCATCCGTCACTTCTTCCCTCTTCCACGCGAAGACCATCTCTGAATACTTTTGGTAATCCTTTGAAGGCCATGTGGAGATGGATGCAGGAGTGGGCACTGCTACTGCTGCTGCTCCGCCTCCTCGTTCTCCTCTTTCTCCTCCTTCTCCTCCTCCCCCCTCCTCCCTCCTCCTCCTCCTCCTCCTCTTCCTCCTCCTCTTCCTTCTCCTCCTCCACCTCCTCCCTCCTCCCTCCCCTCCTCTCTGCCTCAAGGTCTGGGCCCGCAGCGGGGGTCTGTTTCGCAGCTCCCTTTGCCTCGTTTGGTCCGCCCCAGGCAGGAGGCTGCAGCAATGATCCCTGCCTCTCACATCCATCGCCTTCACGTGTGCTATTTCTCGCCGAGGCCTGGAACGAGCAAGCATGCCGCCGTCCAAGCAGTATGTCTCGTGCTCGCAGCGTGGCTGTAAAAGGTTGGGCCTGGTGCTACAGTTCTGCCGAGCACTGCATGCCACGAGGCGGGCGCTTCGACAACCTTCCCGATCTCCTCGCCAGGGCGGAGGGCCAGGAGGAGGCGGATGCAGCAGTGGAGGCACAGACGCCCCCCCAGCTCCGCCCAGGCTTGGGCGCTGGCGTGTACAGTCCAACGGCCCACTCCGCCCCAGGCCTTCCCAAACCCCCGACGCCATGATTTTTTCATGACGTCGACTCCCAGAAGTTCCGACCTATTCCCCGGGACCGGTTTGTCCTCCTGAGTCGTCTTTTGACGGCCCCGAGGCCCGGTAAGGGCCCCAAGAGGCCGAAATCTTAGAAAAACCTCCCGTCATGAGTTTTTCATTACTCGAGGGGCTCTGGGTCAGACGCCCGCCGCCTGAGGTCAACTGCTGAAAGGGCCCCAGGACACACAAATAAATAAACACAAATAAAAAGATCCCCCATATTTTCCCATATTTTCTGGGTTTCTGTCTTCCCCCCCTCCTCCCATATTTTCCCATATTTTCCTGGGAGTCGACGATTAATTGTGTCTGTGTGTTTCTTTCCCTCCTGAATTACTCGAGGGGCTCTGGGTCAGACGCCCGCCGCCCGAGGTCAACTGCGCTGGAGATGCTGAAGATGACCACGCACCGGTCGGGCCGGTCGGGAAAGACCCTGCGGCCCTGGCCCGAGCGCGGGCCACGCTCTGGAAGGAGTGGGGACCCAGCGTTCCGTCGGGCGTGTCCCCCTGCAGGGGGATCTTCGACGAGAAGTAAAAAAACACCCCCAAAAATAGTCCAAACATGGTCGCAAAATAGTCAGGGGACTATTTTTTTAGTATCTTCTGACCTTTTTGGGGCATTTTTTGTTGTTTTTTTGTAATTTTTTTTCGTCGGAAATCCCCCTGCAGGGGGGCAGGCCCGACTTAGACCCAGCGGTGACGAGCACACCGCCGCCCCAGGCACACTCAAACGGGCCAAGGCATCGGAGTCTTGGCGCCGGCGTCCCTGGAGCGGCAGGCCCCGTCCCTGTCCGACCAGCTCGGCATGCAGCGCGAGGAGCTCGAGTCTCAGCAACATGAGCTGGCTGGCCTGGGCAACGCCATGGTCACACGATCAGATCGGGCGTTGGCAGAACTGGGTTTAGTGGAACCTGGTTTAGTGATTTGTACTGGGGGCGCCCCCGCCCCATTTCCACTCACCGGATCTGCCGTCACCCGAGAAACACCAGTTACGGCAAACCTGGTCTAGTGAAGCTGGCCAATTGAGGGGCCCCAGGGCC